TCCCACCTGGGGGGGTGATTTCTTGCTTTCTATCTCTCTGTCTCTCTGGCGAGTGCACATGCTCTATAGCAAAAATCTCTTCAAAAAGAAAGAAAGAAAGAAAGCGCCCTTCTCACTGCAGGGGAGGCCAGCTTTCTCCTTCGCACTGTAGAAGCCAGCCATCGTGGCAGGGAGCTAGAGGACAGAGTGGGAGATACCACTGTCCATTTCCTGGGGCTATGAGGAATTATTTTCCTCTTCTTTTTAAAGAATTGTTACTTACTACATTTATTTATTTATTTATTTTAATTTGGCATAGGACACATGCACGCACCAGAGAGAAAGAAAGGGAAAGTGGGAAAGCAAGCCACCAGGTCCGGGACTTGAACTACAGTCGGCCATGTGGGAGTCCAGCACCTCTACCACTATGCCACCTGCTGGCCCCATGAGAAACGATTTCTAATTCCCTCCGTCAGAATGAAGGTGCTCGGAGGAGAGGGTCGGAGAAACCGGGAGGCAAGATGGTGCAAGGTGTGGCCCTGATATGAACCCTGGCACCCCAGTCGATGGCCCCACTAGGGCTGTGCCCAGCAGCTGTGGGTCGGGGCTGCCACAAGGAGACCCCACGAGGACAATGTGTAGTGGCGTTTGGGGGAAGAGCTGCCCCTGAGACTGCAGACTGGGGGCCAGCAGGTGGCGGGGAGGGCAAGACGGCTGGATCCCACAGGGCCAACTGCGGGGTGGGAGTCCTAGACCTCAGAACCCATGCTGAGCAGCGCCTAAAACCCCACGGTGAGGACAGAGGAGGGATGTGGGGTGGCATCATCTCTGGGGGAGCGCTTTCTCTCTCTCCTTCGCCCTGTCTTTGGTGAGCCCAGGAGCCCTGTAGGAAGAAAGACAAGGCCGCAGGCTGGAAGATCCATTGGGAACAACAGAAGCCACAGGGCTGGGCTGCCGTAGGGCCCATCGCCTGCCCCGGGTGTCTGGGAGGCAGAACACGGGGTCAACGCATATTCTGGAGTTTTAGGATTTAATATTTGCCCCGTCGGGGTTTGCATTTGGGTAGTAGCTATTATTGCCCTTTTTTTCCTTTCCTGGACTTCTTTTTAGGGTGAAAATATCTATCCCACGCCCGTCCCTTCACTGCGTCTGGAAGCACAGAGCGTGTCCTCACTCGACGCGCTCACGGCTGGAGAGGGAACTGGACCTGCGTCTCACGCAGGTGCGTTTACAGGATGCGTGCGTGAGAGCCTGCACCTGGGCTTTCGAGTTGATGCTGGCACGCGTTAAGCTGTCAGAGGCTCCTGGATGCATAAATGCACCTCTTCAAACGTGGGGACATGCACGTGGCGACCAGCGCTGGAGCGCTGTGGTTAGGATGTTTGTGAACTGTGTCGTTAGGGTGGTCTCTGTCGCAGGCTGTGCAAGAATTCACGTACTCAGAGGAAAAGGGCACAGAAAAAGGCGTATTCAGTTTTCCGTAGAGGAAAGGGGCAGGTGGGGAGAGTTGCGTCAGCTCTGTGAGGTAAGGGCTATGGGCTTTTATTGCGTCTTAAGAAAAGTGGGGTGAGACCAGCAGATGGCGAAATGGTTACGTTGCTCGACTCCGACGTAGTCAACTGTGGTTCGAGTCCCAGACCTGGCAGCTTGAAACTCACACCAGGCGTGTGTGTGTGTGTGTGTGCGCGTGTGTGTGTGCGCCCAAGATCCTGAGAGGAGAATGGAGAAGGAACTGCAGTGTTGCCATCCCCTCTAGGGGGTGATTTCTTGCTTTCTGTCTCTCTGTCTCTCTCTGGCAAGCTTTCTGTCTCTCTATCTCTCCCTATAGCAAGAAAAGCCTCTCTAAGAAGAAGAAAGAAAGAAAAGGGGTTATGGCTGGGGAGTCAGGGCAACCCTGATGTGTGGGGGGGGAACCTCACCTGGGCTGTTTCATCTCTGCATGTCTGATCCCACATCAACCTCTCTTCTGAAAGGCAGAAGCTTAGAAGAAAAGCCAGCAGGCAGTGAGGTTGGGGAGGGGCCAGCTAACTCAGGAGGAAAAGGGGGGAGAAAGTGTCTGAAGCACCCAGGAGTCTTGGATGGGCCTTCACAGTTAAAATCTCTCAGGTGCCTGGGAACACTGAATCAACCTGACGCCAGGGAGACACCAGCAACCCTTTGTAACCCTTAAGTCTCCTGGAGACATTGAACTCTTTCGTACATTACAGTGTAATAACAGTGATCAGAACACTTAAGTTAAAATTAGCAGTCAAACATTTAAAAAAAAAATTTAATACTCAGAATTTTTTTGGCCCAATTGTTTAAGTTTATTTAACATTATTTATTTTTTGGGGGGAAGAGACTTTTGCTATAGGGTGCTTGCCAGGAAGACAGAGAGATAGAGACAGAAAGCAAGAAATCAACCCCCCCCCCGGGGGAATGGCCTCATCGCAATCCCTTCTCCATTCTTCTCTAGGGATCTTGGGCACACACGCACACATGCCCAGGTAAGTTTAAGCCACTGGGTCTGGCCGCAGTCGACTGCAGGGGAGTCCAGTGCCAGCCATTACGCCATCTGCTGGTCCCTATTTAACATTGTTTATTTACTTATTTTGGTTAGCCAGAGGGCCTGTGGTGAAATTTAAATGAATAAATAAAATTTTCTTTATCTTATGACTTCTTTTAAAGAATGATTTTATTTAACTTTATTTATTTTAATTGACCAGAAAGGGAAAGA